AGAGAGAGTGAGAGAGAGAGAAGGGGGGAGGGTGGGGGAAGGGATTTACTTCAGACAAGGGTGGAACCAGCCATTATTGGCACTATTCTAGTGAGTCTATCGTTGTTTAAAACTTCAAATTTCAAGCCATGAACTGTTCAGCGTAATAAGCTTTAAAATGTGGGATGAATACATAATTTGTGAACCACAGAAAAAAAAATTGCTGTAAACAAAGTTTAAAAAAAAGTAACATTGTAAAAAAAGTTGGTTTTTTAAAGAGTAAACTTTCAAGTAAAGAAAGATGAACATCATTAGTTTTTAATAAAGTTTGTATGAATTAGGGAAAAAGAAAGTTGTTATTATTAGCTTTCTAGGAAAAAAAAGAGAAGAGTGTTGTACCCCGTTCATCCCACACCAGTTTTGCTGGAGACCAAGGACAATGGCGATGATCAGTGGTTTCCTCAAGAACTTCGATCTGAACAAACCAAACGCAGAAACCTGTTTCAACGAAAGTAAAATATTTTGAAATATTTCACATAACATGTTTATTGTATCCTGATTTTGACCAACTTGAAAAAATAGATATATTACACGAGCTTCGTATTGTCTTGTACGAAAACCAGAAACCCCCCCCCAGAAAAAACAACTAGAGTAGATGTAAATCACTTTGAAAGCACTGAGTTCCAGTCTTGAAAAACGAAAGACAGAGCATGATGAACCTGAAATTCCACTGGATACGGGCATTAAAAGTAATAATTTTGTGCTTTGGGGGAAGATTTTTTAACAGTTCGCTACCTTAGAATTACAAAGTTCTGTCTGCTCAGCACCTAGTTTTGAGAAATTTGAAATAAAATGTTTCACAATTACAAGTCAAGCTTTTTCAAATGCAATTCTTAGAATATCTTGATAACGGCTCGGAATAATTCTAATGATTTTGATAGAGCAGACAGAGCATTTGATTTCTGATCACATGGTCTTAGTAATTTAAAACGGCCAAACATGTCAGATACAACTTTGTAATTCTTAGGTAGCGAGCTGTTATAAAAACTCCCAAATGAGGGGAACTATAAATAGTGCAACATAGCACACGGCTCACGAATATAATATTGATATAGTAATATAAACATAACTCGGTGAGTTGGAAGACGATAATGTACACTCGTGATTTAATAGAATAGATTACACTGGTGTCTCATAACCTTTGCTCAGAAACATTTGAAGGTCAATGACAAGACAAGGACAAAAAAAAAATCATTTTTAATCTTTCAGGGAGAAAGTTGTCTAGGTCGTTTACAATGGGAGGGGTTACTTAGAGGATTAAAGGTAAAGAGAACTTCAATTAAGAAGAAAAACCCAACAAAACCATATGAACCATTAGAATGATTTATATTATTTTGTTAAAAATTACCGTTTACTACGAAGTACAACAAAAACCAAAGTAAAGTAAGATCATTTTTCGCTGTGTGAACTGTTAATTTACCAGTAGCCTACACAAGGTCAGTCTACTTCATATGCTGAAGTATTTCATAAAGTAAAACTGTATTGTATTTCCAGAATACGGACAGAGAGTAATGCTGATGATCTTCCTAACACCCCTTGTTAGCAAGTAAACTTGGGATGGGAAGCAAACGTGGTTTTTAAAATTTTTATTTACTGTGGTGTACTTTTCTGCACTAACAACTTGGACCCCGTTAATGCCCTGCATTCGAAATGCCCAGCTCGTGTACCTTTGGTGCCCCCCCCCTTCCCTCAACTCTCCTCCTCAGGAAAAAGGAACATATAGCAAAAAAATCCCCAGAAAACAATACGTCATTTAGGAGGCAAAAAAGAACCCCCCCCCCCCAATACAATAACGCGTATAAAGCAAGTCAATATCTTACAAAATGGACGCATCATCTTTTCCATTTTCTAAAACACAAGTGGGGTACGAAGGGAAGTAACAGTGAAAATATCTGCGATGTGGAATTTCATTGTTCTGTCCCTTGTATGGTGAGGCTTTGCTCACAATAATCGTCTTATTCATATATTTCATTCATTTTGTTTTGTTTTTCCTTTTTTCCCTTTTGTTTTTCATATAATACGGAATGGGGAACATTATCACTGCATGCATGCATATACAGCTTGTGGCAGTGACATCAGGCGTGTTAGACATGGGGTGTCTTCTTGCCCCCAACAGCATGGCCGGCGTACCCCTATGTACACAGGAAATCCCCACCCTGTTCCCCATGACTTCTACCATATTAAACACCGTTGTGACCCCACATTTCAGTGCATTCTTGTAGATTTCCTCCACAGACCGCCTAGATGTCTCCACTTGAGTCTCGAAAAGTACTCACCCTTCTGTTGTTCTTGCCTTCGACGCTAAGCGTCCCAAAATGGCCGCACGCAGCCTCCCTCTCTCATCCCTTCCCCTCCCCCCGTTCGTTGACGTGATTGATGACGTCATGGCCATAAGTTCTTGTACTGTACATAAATCTCTTTGATTACACCATACGACACGACACCACACTACATCACACCCTATCCCACCATACCACACAACACCACACTACACCCCACTACACCACACCACACACCATCACAAATAACAACTACACATCACACCACACCACACCACACCCCCACCCACCACACCACACAACACACCACCACACCACACTACCACCCACCCCACCATACAACACCACAGCACACCATGCCACACCATGCCACACCATGCCACACTTTACGATACCACACAAAATCCACATCAGTTAGTTTTAGCAAGAGTTTTACGGCACTTACAACACAATAGAGTCATATAAGTGCGGAAGATTAGAGGTGTTACAAGAGAGTTACAAACACAAAAAAGAAGGAGGAGAGATAATGGCGATAGATTTTTTTTATAGGAAAGAAGGAGCAAACGACACCAAAGCACACGCCAACCACCACAATCCTCATCATATCACAATACAACACAGTGCGCGTTACACTATGCCACAACACGCCATATAGTGTTGTGCCTTACATGGACATACAGTGCCACTCCGTGATATACCTGAGCTTTGCCACTAGATTCCTTCAGCTCCGCATGCAGGGCGTCTATATCTTGCTGAACGTCATCTGTCCCACGAATTTTCTGAAGAGCTGAAATCAAACGGCAGTAAACAACATCACTAATAATAATAGCAGCAACACGAGTACTAACATCGACAGAACAACAACAATAATTACACATTTACGAGTACATTAAACAGCAACTTTAGGAAGAAGAAGAAGAAGAAGAAGAAGAAGAAGAAGAAGAAGAAGA